AGAGCACAATGATGGTGCCAACTTGGGCCAGTGAAGCAACGTCCTCCACAACTAGACTGAAGAACAAAATGACAGCAACTTGTCTGTCCTGTTCCCCCAATTCCCCAGCACTGTTCCCATCCCCCAATTCCCCAATTAAAAAAAAAAAATCTTTAAAAAAAATTTTTTTTTTAATTTAAAAAGAAAAAAAAAAGAAAGAAAGAAATTGAAGGGCCGGCCGAGTGGCACGATGGTTAAGAACTGGCTTGGGATGCCAGAGGGCCCCAGCTCGGATCCCACATATGAGGGCCAGTGACACTGCCCTCTAATTCCCCAGCACTGTTCCCATCCCCCCAATTCCCCAATAAAAATCTTTAAAAAAAAAAAAAAAGAAAGAAATTGAAAAGACAAGCTACACTATGGGAGAAAATATCTGAAATCACGTATCAGGTGAAGGATTCATAGCCAGAATTAATGCATACACACAAACCCTTATGGCTCAAGAAAACCCAAGGAGCAACCCAAATGGGCAAAAGATTTGAATATACATTTCACCAAAGAACATATATGAAAATCTAATAAACAAGCACATAAAAAGATGCTCAGCATCATTAGTCATTAGCAAAATGCAAAAAAAAAACAACCCACAATGAGATTCTACTTCACACCCATTAGGATGGCTATAATCAAAACGACAAACAAATGGTGGCAAGGATATAGAGAAATAGGAACCTTCATACATTACTGATGGGAATGTAAAATGGTACAGGCACTCTGAAAAGTCAAACATAAATTTATCATCTGACCCAACAATTCCACTCAATAAAAATGAAACATGTTCACATGAAGATTTGATGTGAATGTTCGCAGCAGCATTATTTCCAATCACCAAAAAGCAAAAACCCAGTGTCCATCAAATGGTGTCCAAACAAAAGGCAACAATGTATAATACAGGCTACAACATGAATGAACCTCAAAAAAATATTATGCCAAGTAAAATAAACCAAACATAAAGGATCACATATTATATAATTATATTTATATGAAATGTCCAGAAAAGGCAAATCTATATAGAGACAGAAAGTAGATTTGTGGTTGCCTGAAGCAGGGGGTGGGGACAGGGAGTGACTACACATGGATGTGAGGCATCTTTTTGGAATGATGAAAATGTTCTAAAACTGGATTGTGGTAATAATTGAACAACTTTTTAAATTTACTAAAAAACTATAGAACAGTACACTTAAAACAGGTGAAGTTTATGGTATATAAATGATACCTCCATAAAATTGTTTTAAAAAAATGAAAAAATATTATGGAAAGTGAAAGAAGCCAAACACAAAAGACCACATGTTATATGACCCCATTTATATGAAATGTCCAGGAAAGGCAAATCTACAGACAGAAAGTGGATTTGTGGTTGCCTGGGGTTGGGAGTGGGAACAGGGATTAACTGTAACAGGCAAAAGGGATCTCAATCGGGTGATGAAAATATTCTAAAGCTGGATTATGCTGATTGGTGCAGAGCACAGTAAATTTACTAAAGATCACTGAATTTTATACTTAAAAATGGGTGAATTTTATGGTATTAAATTACACCTCTGTAAAGTTATTTTTAAAAATAAGGTCGTCTATTCACACCTAACAATAACTACTTCCTGTCAAAAAAAAAAAAAGATCAAATCACATTTGAGTTCTTAACCTTTTATCCATGGACTACTCTGAGGCTGAGATGAAGGCTAACCCTATCCCAGAGGGCTGAGACTTCCTTTTTCCCCACTCACGGACACCCTATTGGTCTGAGAACACCAGTCTCTAAAATCTCTAGTCCCATGCCACCTTAATATCAAAGGCATTAAGAATGACCACAAGCATCCTCCTCACCCTAGAAAGATGTACACCTTACCAAAAAGGAAAGCAAAATTCCTCTTCTGAAAAGATAATAGGGAGCCCTTTCTTTACTTTTCAGACATTACTTTGGAATCTCCCACTTAATCCCTCTCTTTATTATGAAACTCTGAGGGACCCAGAAGCAATCAATCAAGACAGAGACCTAACTAGCTGTCTTTAGAACCAACCAGTGCACGTCAAGACTCAGCATGGATCAAGAACACGGGCCCATGATGTGACTTAAGGAAAAAGATGTGATGTCTTTCAGATAAAACTTAGCCCAGATTTCTTTAGAAACAAGAGACAAGTGAAAATACACACACACACACACACACACACACACACACACACACACACGACAAAGTTTCTCTAAAACACAGACAGTATAATAAACACACCAAAACAGCTAAAGAATTTGCAGCCAGTCTTTGTTATAAAACAATTTTGGAACAGGATGCTGATCTATCAAAGCAGACAATCTCCTTCCTCCAATAACACAGGGGTCTGCTCATGTCACTTGGACTGAGCTTCTGTTTGGCTAAACCCACCCCCCTTTTGATTTCTAAAGTCAGTGGATTATTGTTGTCCAACAAATACTCACTTCAGCATCCCCAGTCCCCCTCCTTCCCCAATTACTGTACCTCTCTGAGAATTACAATCCATGTCTGTGCAAGTTTGGTCTCTGCCAACTGGTATTCCTGGACCCCCTTCAAATCCACTCCACACACAACAGCCAGACCCAGTGGTTCATGCCATGTCCCTGCTTGAAGCCCTCCAATAACACTTAAAATAAAATTCCAAAATCCTTACCAGGGCTGAGAAGGTCCCTAAGATAGGGCTCCCTCCCTTACCTTTCTATCCATGTCTATCCATTTCTATCCTTTCTATGGCCAGTCTTCCTTCAGGTCCTAAAACACATCAGGCTCTCTCCCTCCTCAAGACCTTTGCATTTTCTCATCCCTCAGCAGGAAAAATCTTTCCTAGGCCCTTAAGCTTCCTCCTCATACTTCAGTGCTCAGCTTAAATGCCTCGAAAAAAGAATTTTCCTTGAAATCACCCTTACGAAATCTCCAGGTTATTTCCCCATGAGAACGTCTTATTTCCTACCTAGCACTTGCCGAAACCTGTAATTCTTTGTGTCTGCTCATTTAATGTCTACCTCTCTGACTAGAAAGTCAGTTCCAAACAGTCGTAAGTTGTGTCCACGTTGCTCAGCGCGGTACCTGAGCAGCTTCACCTGGAGAGCATCCCTAGCTCCACCCCAGCAATGCCTGGCACTTCGTGGGCACTCAAGGGTTCTCGCATGGAAGAGGGAATGAACTAAAGCACCCTATCCCACAATCCCCAAAATAGGTGGCTGTGCCACAACTCCAATATCCCATTTTTCGCATACCCTCCTAAAGGCCTGTCCCACGCCTGAACTTTTCTTTCTCTCCAAGAAACATCTGTCGCTCAGGTTCAAACATCTATCACTACACAGATCTCTCACGAGCCCCTCCAACCCCGCCGCACAGGCGCGCCACTCAAAATCCCCTCCCCGCTTCACACGCGCTGCACAAACCCAGAGCCTCACCCACGCGCCCTACAATCCCCCGACCCCCATGAGCACGCATGAATTTCTGTTGAGTCCTGCGCTCCCGGAGCCCCCGCAGGTCCCCACGTTCCCGCGTGTCACCCGCCACCAGAATGGTGCCTCCCCCCTCAGCGGCGCTAGCTCTCACCGATCACCTCCTGCAGCTCATAATCGTCCCTGTTGATGGACCAGGGCAAGGCGCTCGAGTCCTCGGACATGACGGCGGCACGGCTCTCGGTCCTCCCTCAAACTCGCTGACCTCTTTCGTCTCCTCGCCGCGCCTTTCCCCACCCCCAACCAATGCCGCCGCGACCCCACCAATCGCCTCGAGTATAGCCACGGGTCGGACGGCGCTTGGACGAGGGGGTCACAGCGCGGGAGAGCGGCGGGGGCTCGAAGCTCCGGCAGACCTCGCCTCCTGCTCCTCCACGTCCGGCACTCCCGGCCCAGTCCAGGTCCCGGCCTCGTCCTCTACTGCAGCAGCGACAGGAGCTTCGCCTGGGCCCAGCCCCTCTGTCCCGCCCTCCACCCCAACCCCACGCACGGGCCAAACTTTCCCTTCTCCCTCCACCTGCCGACACGCAGCGCGCTGACGTCACCGCGCCGGACACGCTCCGCCTCGGGCCCCGCCCCCCGGCCGCCATCTCAAGTGTGGCTGAATTAGCAGCGAGCAAGCAAGAAGCCCGAGAAAGTGGAAGTTGACAATGGAAGGGAAGAAATGCTTAAGAAAGAGTTCAGCGAGGGCATCGGAGAGCCAGAGAAGAATCTAAAGTAGCACAGAGGCGACAGCCACTCTAAGCATGGCGACCAAAGGGCGACCGAATGGAGGGGGCGGAGCCCCTGCTGGCGGCGGGGGCGGAGCCCCTGCTGGCGGCGGAGCACGTTGCCGTTTCCGTCGTCGCATTCATTGGTTTGTTTGAGAAGGAATCAGAAAGGCAATGGGTGTGTGTGGACGTCAGTCATAAGTTAATCCCGCCTCCAGGCTCAGTTCGTGTGTCAGCGCCAGGGCTCCAGTTCTTCAAGATCGCCGGTACTCTGCTCGCTTTGCCCCTTTCTCTGGAGCGACGTTAATGACGTAACCGTCACACCCTAGAAACGTGCAAACGGCTCCGCAGGGTGTGGAGAAACCCGAGGGAGCCGCTGGGTGGGGTAGCCTTGGGGTGTGGACGACTGCCAACTAGGATAAAAGGCCTTGGGCTACGGACACAGTGGAACCGGAAGCTTGCCCAATGACGACACTTTTTCCATGGCGGAAGTTCTTTCTGCAGCTCTGATCGCGGCCTCCTTGCAACCTTATTGGGCAGGGAAGGAGTTCTGTCCATTCTCAAGTTTGGGTCTGGAGCTCAAATGAGCACCTACCTTGGCGGCCTCGGAAATTTGGGGGGTTTTCCCTTGACGCAGCTTGGGCCATTAAACAAGTGAGATTTGGCCCACGTGGTTTGGGGTCGTTTCAAGGGATTTGACTTTGCTTGACCTCACTGAACTTCAGTTTTCTCAGGTTGACCACTTAGACCCATTGGGAAATTAATGAGGTGAAAATTGGACGCGCGTGGCAAAGTGGGGGGAAAAAAAAAGTCTCAACATGGATTGGGCTAGGTGTAAAACTGTTCTCAGTTGAACATCTGTCAGACCAATAGTAATCATTAAGGAAGAGACTTTCACGGAGGCCCTGCCTGCCAGGCACTGAAAGCCCTGTGCTGTAGGAGGTCCATTGGCCACAGAACCAAAGTAGTCACATTGGAGCTGTTAGCAGGTTTCCACCTGGATAGTGAAATTAGAAAACATTTCATGGAGGAGGTGGCATTTGTACCAGACCCTGAAAAGTTGACAGGTGGAACTTGAGAGGCTAGAGTATTTCAGTCACAGCAAAGGTGCCAGAGTTCCCCAGTTTGAAAGCAAAGCACAGACATTGCTGTAGAAATTGGTTTCAGCTATTACCACTGACACCTTTACTGCCATGTGTTGCCTTTTTCATTTTGCAAAGAGAAGGGAGGGTGGGGGCTCAAATACATCAGAGAGGAACTAATTCTGATGGTAAAAATTAGAGACCTCAAGGTTTATACCAATAGAAAAATCCATAAACCAAAGATTCTTAAACTGGGATTGTTGCCCTGTGTGGATCATTGGTTTTGTTTTCTCTTTTTACTCCTTTGAAATTATATACAGAATAATATACTTTAGGACGAGATTTTGTCCACTTTCCACTCTTCCCCTTTCCCAGTGAAAAGGAGCTACTAACCTAATAGTGAAAATTCAAGATATTAATTGACCCACATTCTTGGTGGTCAAGGTCGCTATACAATTATTCATAGATTCTCTTCTGCTTCCTCCACGCACATAGCTTGATGGTTTGAGCCAGAACCTACTCTGCAGATCTGGTTATTTTATTTCTCCTGTCTCCTGGGCTTTCTCCATGCGGCCTGATAGAAAGTAGATACCATGTGTTTAATGAGCAAGGAATCGGTGGCTGTTTGAGGCCAGAGCCCAAATCTCAGTCTCTTTTTCAGCTTATGGAATGAGTATCTTCCATGTGAGAGCTCTGACATAAACACCAGGTATACAGTGGTAAACTAAGCAACTTAGTTCCTGTTTTCATGGAGCACATAGTCTAGTAGAGAACTAAACAACTAAGCAAACGTAAGTGGTTATGTTACAAAGCATCATGCAGGAAGGGGTCAGTGTGCTGTGGTAGAGAATAATAGAGTTTTGAGAAGACCTCTGAGAAAACGGAGGGAGCCAGCCACACAAAGGGGTTTTAGGCACTTTGAAACTATTAATAAAATAATCCTCTCATTCCTGTTAGGCTGCTGGTCCTTGTATATGGCTCCCTCAGTAATCTTTTCGGGAGTGGACGTGAAGTTCAAGGGAAGCTAGGGTCATTTGGGAACCCTGGCCCTGATATCAAAATTTCACCAAATCTTACCTCGGTTTCCTAAAAGGATGACATATTTTCCTGGGGAGAGGAACCTTGTTTTACCACATGTTTTCAAAGGACTCCTTGTCTGAGTTTGGGTTCCTCCCAAAATCAGGCTCTGAACCAGGATTTAGATGCACATAGTTTATTTAGGAGGTGACCTGGATGGGGCACTGAAGGAGTGGAGAAGTGAAACAGGAAAGAAAGGAAGGAAAGTCATTAAGGGGCACATTACTGAGAGGCTATTGTGTGGGCTCAGTCCTGCTGTGAGCTGTCTGAGAAACTGGAACACATGTCAGAATTGTCCCACTAACAGGCAAGGGAGCTGAGGTGTTTACCCACCAACTCCTTTCCCTCTTTATAATGCTCCTGCACTTCTACCCAGCTCAGTGCTGGGGAAAGCACGCTTCTAAAGTCAGAGAATGCACTTAGGCAACAGACGCAGGCAGTCCTCGTGTACTAGATCTCTCTGAAAGCAAATTTCGGAGTCGAAGGCCAAAGGGTATGAGCAGTGTCTATAGACAGCATCTACTACAATGTGTAAACCCCAAAACTGAGAATCACTGTCTGGACTGCAAAACCAGGAGAGAAAGTACATTCATGCTTTCCCTTCTTTCTTTGTTGCTTTTAAGCAATTTCCCTGCATTGTGCTTTGCTATTTGCACCTGCTGAGTAGAGGAACAAGGACTGATTTCAAGACTAGTGATGCCTTGAAGTGGTAATTACAGCTGTAATAATTTAAGTTTTATAGGCTCCATTAATTAAACAGTTTTTGAAGTCTAGAAATTGATGTGTACTCCATGAGAAACCTGAATATAAAGAAAAGCACAATTTTATGTCTCTGTCAAAAGCTGATTTTCTTAGCAGTTTCATGTCAGTGTTGGGACCAACTATAGACTGCTAGAATCTGTCTCCCCTGCCCCCATCTATCCCTTATCACATGTCACATGTAGTAGAATGTCACCCCTTGTATGAGAGGGACAACACCCATACGAGTACGACACACAGGTATGCTTCCCGCCTTGTGCCTGGAGTATGCACAGATACGTATTCAGGCATGGTGTGGGTTAAATAGATGAAATATGAAAGTAGAGGAGATATGAACAAGCTAGGAACCTGGAGCCTGGTGAGAAGCTGTTATCTTGGAAAAACCAGGAAGTGAATATCCAAGGCAACAGGCACTTGGAGCCTATAGCAAATAGGTAGGTGCAAAGGTTATTGTAGGGGGAAAAAAAATAAGCATATGCAGAAAGTAGAGCCTCAACATCAAGCTAGCTTCTGAGCCAGAGCATAGCTTCAAGCTTGCCCAGGCTGGCACCATGCCAACTGGATGAGCTCAAGCTGAGTGAGCAAATGATGGGAAATACCTGACTGAGGTGGAGCAAGTTCCTAGGTGCCTACTACATTTCAAACACTATCTCTTTAACAGTCTTCTATGTCTAAAAACCTACTTCATTACAGTGTTTATTGTAGCACGACTGTAATAGGAAATACTGGAAACAGCCTTTGATACAGGCGTCCATTGATAAAGGACTGGTAATTGCTTGTATACACATATATGATGTGGACAACTCAGGATACATAAAAAACTTGTGTGTTGGTGTAATTAATGCTAACTGAAGTAGCAACCCAAAAATCTGTCTGGTTTAACCCAAAAGCTTATTTCTCACACACGTAAAGCCCAATACAGAAGTCCCTCGTTTCATAACGTAAAGTTTGGTTTCTCCTATCTCCGGAAGTACTCATGTTTATGATAGCCCACCATCTGCCCTGCCCTTGTTTCACACTGAGGGACTTGAACGCTCTCATCAACCCGGTTTCACTGTGCCCCCCTCTGCCCCTTTGTTCAGGCCATTTCTCCTTCCAGGAATGCCACTTTTCTTCTGCCCCACCCATCCAAGTCTTACTGGCTCTGCCAGGTTCAGCTTATCAGTCACCCTCTCCTCCCCCCGCTACTTTGAATGCTTTCTCTGAGATTGTCCCAGCCCTGAGGGAAATTGTGTACACCTACCACCTCACCCAGACCATTTCTGGGCACTCAGCCTGTGCTGCTATATATCCAGTCTTCTCTTTTTGTGAATGTTCTGTATTTCAAATTAGGTCGTGGGTCACCTGTGAGGAGTGGGGGATACCCTATCACTAGAAAGGAAGTAAAGGATTTTTGTGGAGTTTGAGGTTTGGTTGTTGTTTGTTTGTTTGCCCACCTTAAGATATGTCAGCATGATGACAGTCGAGAAATTTATGAAGAGCTGCATTTCTCTCTCTATTTTAGGAAAATTTGCAAAAATGTGTATGTCATTTAATTCTCGACCTTAGGCAGGAGTATCATAATCTCCAAAGTGGGTGTAGTTTATAAAAACACTCAAAATCATTGATCTGCCTCGCCCTGGAAGAGCGCAATGATGGTGCCAACTTGGGCCAGTGAAGCAACGTCCTCCACAACTAGACTGAAGAACAAAAAGCAACTTGTCTGTTCCCCTTCCCCCAATTCCCCACCGCTGTTCCCATCCCCCCAATTCCCCAATTTAAAAAAAAAAAACACTCAAAATCTAGCTATTGCTCACTGTTGAAACTCAGGAACTGAATACTCATATTTATCTTCTGATAACTTGGTATCTCTCACTCTCTGAACTCAGGAGCTGA